AGGATCCTAGAAGCAAAGTCTCTCCTCTAAATCAAAGTGCCCGGTTACTTGCAAAGGGAACTGGTTGGAGGACAGTCTCCCCAGCTGGAAAACCCAAGCAAGTCGTGGGGTTCCTCCAAAGCTCAATGTCCTCCTCCACGTAATGAAGGTAATAACTACTAATTTCATAAGGTCATCATAAGGAGTAAAGGAGATGTCTAAATTCTAGCAGAGTGCCTGACACATACTGTGATGAGTTGAATTGTGTCCCTCCCAAAACACATAGGCTGAAGTCCTAGTCCCTGGTGCCTCAGAATGTGACCTTATTTGGAAATGGGGTCTTTCCAGATGTAATGGTTAAAACAAGTTCGTACTAGAGCAGGGTGGGCCCTAAATCCTTAATATGACTGGTGTCCTTATAAAGAGCGGAGAGAAACACACAGGGGGAGGACAGCCTGGTGATTATACAGGCAGAATTGGAAATGCTGTGACTGTAAGCCAAGGAGCCCCCAGGGCTTGCCAGCAAACCATCAGAAGCTAGGAGGAGGGAGCACAGCCCCACCAGCACTTTTCCAGACCAGAACTATGAGAGACTACATTTCTGTTATTTTAAGCCACCTGGTTTGTGGTATTTTGTTATGGAAGCGCTGGGAAAGCTAATACACGTAGAAAGCATTCAATAAGTATTCGTGTTGTTATTGTAATCCTTTGTTTAAAAATATATACACATATAGGGGCGCCTGGGTGGCTCAGTCAGTTAAGCATCTGACTCTTGATCTCATCTCAGGTCTTGATCTCAGGATTGTGAGTTCAAGCTCTGCACTGGGCTCCATGCTGGGCGTGGAACCTACTATATATATATACACACACACATACATATGTGTATATGTGTATATATATATATGCATGTATAGATTCAATACAATCCTTATCAAAACCCCAATGACATTTTTTTGCAGAAATAGAAAAAAAACCCTTAAAATTGCTATGGAATCAAGGGACTCTGAACTACAAAACCAATCTTGATAAAGAAGAATAAAGTTAGAGGCCTCACACTTCTTAACTGCAAAACATTACAAAGCTACAGTAATAAAATAGTATGGCCCTGGCCTAGACAACACAGAGACCAATAGAGGAAAATAGAGAGCCAGACCTCGAGTATACGGTCAAATGATTTTCAACAAGAGAGCCAAGACCACCCAATGGGGAAAGGTTAGTTTCTCCAACAAAAGATGTTGGAAAAACTGGATATTCACATACAAAAGAATGAAGCCTTACACGATATACAAAAATTAGTTCAAAATGGATTAAAGATTTAAACATCAAGCATTATACCTAAAACCATGAAACTGCTATACGAAAACAAAAGGGAAAAAGCTTCATGACATTGGATTTGGCCATTTCTGAGGCTCAACCAACTGAGCCACCCAGGCGCCCAGAAGCACAGGCAGCAAAAGCAAAAATGGATAAATAGAACTGTTTCAAACTGAAAAACTTTTACACAACAAAGGAAACCATCAACAGAGTGAAAAGGCAGCCCACCTAATGGGAGAAAATAATTGCAAATCACATATCTGATATGGGGTTAATAGCCAGAATATATAAAGAATTCTTGCAACTCAACAACAATAAAATAAAATTTAAAAAAAACCAAGTAACTCATTAAAAAAAAAAAAAAAAAAAAAACGAGCAGAGGACTTGAATAGAGATTTCTCTGAAGAAGATATGCCAACAAACCCATGAAGAGATGCTCAATATCACTAGTCATCAGAGAAATGCAAATGAAAACCGAAATGAGATACACCTTACATCTCATTATGATGGCTACTATCTAAAAAACAGAAAATCACAGTGTTAGTGAGGATGTAGAGGAAATAGAGCACTCCTGCCCTGTTGGTGGGAGTGTACAATGCATAAAGTGTAACCACTATGGAAAACAGTGTGGAGGTTCTTCCAAAAACTAAAAATAGAATTACTGGGGGCTCCTGAATGGCTCAGTCAGTTGATCGGCCAATTCTTGATTTCAGTTCAGATCATGATCTCAGGGTCTTGGGATTGAACTCCGTGTTAGGCTCCATGCTCAGGGGGGAGCCTGCTTAAGATTCTCTCTCTTCCTCTCCCTCTGCCACTGCTCACGCCCTCTCTCTCTCTCAAATAAATAAATCTTAAAAAAAAAATAGGATTACCTTATGATCCAGCAATCCCATTTCTGGGTATATATCCAGAAAATTTGAAAGCAGGATCTCAAAAAGGTATTTGCACATCCAAGTTCATTTCAGCATTATTCACAATAGCCAAGAGGCAGAAACAATCCTAATGTCTACTGATGATGAATGGATAAAGAAAATGTGGTATATTCATACAATGGAATACTATTCTGCCTTTAAAAAGGAAAGAAATCCTGTCACATGCTACAACAAAAATGAACTTTATGGACATTATGCTAAGTAAAATATGCCAAATGCAAAAGGACAAATACTGTATGATTTCATTTATATGAGGTATCTAGAGTAGTCATACTTATAGAAACAGAAAGCAGAATGGTGGTTGCCAGGGGCTGGGAGGAGGGGGAAATGGGGAGTTGTTCAATGAGTATAAAGTTTCAGTTTTGCAAGATAAAAAATTCTAGAGATCACACAACAATGTAAATATAGTAGCATTACTGAACTGTACACTTAAAAACGGTTCAGATGGTGGTTATGTTACGTGCTTTTTACCGCAATTAAATATAAGTGGGTGCATTTAGATATGCACTTACATAAAACCCTATACCTACGTTTTGTGAATCCACCATGATTCCTTAGCAATACTCTTAAATGGGACAGTTTAAGCAAAAATTACTGGAGGTTTGCTGTTTACTTTTTTAACTCAACAAATCAGAATTTTTTTTTTTAAAGATTTTATTTATTTATTTGACAGAGACAGAGACAGCGAGAGCAGGAACACAAGCAGCGGGAGTGGGAGAGGGAGAGCAGGCTTCCCGCTGAGGAGGGAACCCGATGTGGGACTCGATCCCAGGACCCTGGGATCATGACCTGAGCCGAAGGCAGACACTTAACGACTGAGCCACCCAGGCGCCCACAAATCAGAATTTTAATAAATGATAACATTTAATGTCTAGTGCTATGCCTTCAAAATGTATAAACATTTTGTAAAAGACGATTTATCAGACACTGGTAAAAAGAATAATCCATGAGAAACAATACATTCTGACCATGTTTTAATGATAATATTGGCTAATATTCACTGGACGCTGACTCCGTTCCAGGTAGTATTCTTATTTTTATCCCACTGAGTTCTCGCACCAACCCTACGACACGAGCATAACATGGAGGCACTGAGGATTATTGTAATTTGCGCAAGGTCACGCAAGGAGCGGACCCAGGCTTTGAACCCAAGCCAATTGGTACCAGCATGTACTCTTAGCGCCCCAACTCTGCTGCCTGAAACCATACCCTCTGTCCCTTGCTTCCTCTGTGTGTCCATGTGGACGGTCTGATGGGAGCCTGAGTGTAAAGTCACCATACCCCAGACCAGGGGAGCTGAGGACAATGATGAGCTCAAGTTATCACTTCATCACATGGTGTCGTAATCCAGTAAACCCTCCATCTACTGCTGCCCCACCTGCTGCTTCTCTCCTGGTAGTTCCCCGGGGTGCTTGCCTGCGGGACAGGCTGGCCTCACTTCAGATCCCCGAGAAGGCCCAACCCCTCAAGGAAGGCACCTGACCAAAACACGTTCCTGCTGCCTCCGAAGCGGAAGAGCCGCTGGGCATCCATGGGCACCTTTTCCTCTTTGCCTTGAACGTTCCGTCTCATCTGTACGTAGCACGTGTCTCATTACGCAGGCAACTGAGTTCTGTCAACAACAAGGTTCCAGAATGCCGTTCCTATTTGTGTCATTCTGCGAAAGAAGTTCCAGAACTATGTTCCTGCACACAGCCCCACAAAAATAGCAATATGTGTATATACATATGTATATACATGTATAAGTACAAGGTAACGTGTTGTAAATAGAGACGTGGAATAGGCAATCGTGTGTTTAGGGAAAGTGAGAAGTATGTCAGACAGAGCCTGGATTGTGGGGCCAGACTGCTCTTCTGGCTTCACCATTTGCTAGTGAGGGGAAGCTCAGGCGAAATAATCACACACACACACACACACACACACAACACAACACACGCACACACGCACACACGCCCCTAAACAGTCCCTCCCTGACAACAAGATAGTGGCAATGAGGTTGCACAAATCCACAATCGGGACTGGAGGCTTCCATCTGTGAACACCTTGCCCAGAGAAAGGGTCACCCTTTTTCTGACTCCCTTCCAAGATCTTAACCCGAGAGAACCTGACAGTTCTGTCCGCCACTGTCCCTCCCAGGAGCTCAACAAAGCAGCTTGCCCTCCCTGTCTGCCCCGTGGCCCTGTCCCCTCTCCTGGCTGAGGGTTGTGGCGGGCAGACAGGAAAACCGGACCGGAGAATCAGGGGAGAGCCTGTTTGCAGATCAACACCACACAGCTCATGCAAGGGCCCCTTGGAGAAATGGGAAACTGTCAGGAAGGTGGATAGAATAAACCTGGTTTTCCATTATTTTTTCAAATAAATGGAGTCCAGTTTGCTTCAGCTATAATCCAGGCATAACATTTATATGCGAACATAAAATACTACAGAGCCATAAGTAAAACAATATGTGTGTTCCTGAATAATACTTATACCACTTGCCAGGAAGACTATATTTTGACCAAATAAAAGATGACCTAAATTTGACTCAGTGGGATGGGATCTACTACACGATTGCTTCTTGAAAAAAAAGGGATAGAGATAGGGGGATTTCGGGAGGGTGGAAGGAAATAGACAAGGAGAACAAGAGAGAAACAAGATGAAAAGTTATTATGACTCTGACTTGATTTGAAAGCTCCAATTGTACAAAAAATAAAGGGCATTTAATGTTAAATGTGTAGTGTGTCCCTCCCAAATAAAACCCCGTTTTATATCAGACAATCATATTGCAAAGTCCCGAGTGCGCCGACATCAGACGTAAAGAAGTGAGTTTGCTGCAGTAACAAGGAGATAACCATTGTAAACACTCCACTTTATGATCCATTCCCCCATGTTGTCTTTCATTCACACATAGGATCACTTAACACAAATATGTATTGTGGACTGAATATGCAACAGGCTTGCTAGCAGGACAGGAGTCAGCCCTGCCCTAAGGGAGTTCACAATCCTGTGTGGGAAGGGAACTCAGGACTTGGGCCATTTCCATCCAGGATGGGTAGACCCAAGATGGAAGACATCTCAACACAGGAGGCCGGGTACCACTGCAGAGCCATGCACCAGGACTCCCAAGACCACACAAGGGAGGACGCCGAATGAACCAGAGGGACCAACGTGGATAACGCCGGCGCTAGGTTCTTCAAAAGGAGAAGTAAGTAAGTCAGAGAAAACTGGAAGAGAGCAAAGCAGCAAGTCATCATCCAAATCCCTGACAGTAACAGGTAAAGCTACATTTGTACAGCTCTTACACACATTGTTACATTTGAATAATGCACACACTGTTTCCAGATGCTTTGGTAAGCAAATGCATTCATTAGGACTTAGGTACTTCGTGTGGCTGATACAACAAAGATCTGAAGTAAGAGGGGCTTAAGCAGGTAGAATTGTATTCTTTCTCACGTCACAGTCCAGGCTGGAGCCATCCAAAGCTATCTGGCAGCTACCCGCCCGATGACAACAGTCCTTCTGATTTGCTGCTCCACCATCCCTTTGATGTTGTCCTCAGCCATCTGGTCCAAAGTGGAGCACCTCCATATCTCAATTCCAGCTGGAGAGAAGGGCAGGGTAGTGGTTGGGGGAGACAGGGGCAGACAAAGAAGAGGATGCAACATTCCCTTGTATTAACAGTGCTGCCTGGGGGCCCAGGTGGCTCAGTCGGTTAGGCATCTGCCTTGGGCTCAGGTCATGATCTCATGGGTTATGGGACCGAGCCCCGCGACGGGCTCCCTGCTCAGCGGGGAGCCAGCTTCTCCCTCGGCTCTGTTCCTCTCCTCCCCCCACCGACTGTGCTCTCTCTTTCTCTGTCAAAATAAATAAATAAATTCTTAAAAAAAAAAAAAACAAGAGCGCCTGGGTGGCTCAGTCGTTAAGCGTCTGCCTTCAGATCAGGTCATGATCTCAGGGTCCTGGGATCGAGTCCCGCATCGGGCTCCCTGCTCAGTGGGGAGTCTGCTTCTCCCTCTCCCACTCCCCCTGCTTGTATTCGCTCTCTCGCTGTCTCTATCAAATAAATAAATAAAATCTTTTTCAAAATTTTAAAAAAATAAAAATAAAAAAACAGTGCTGCCTGAAACTGCACACATCATTTCTCCCCAAACCCCATTGGTCAGAACTTGGCCACATGACAGTACCTGGCTACAAGGAAGCTGGAACATGGTCTTTATTCAGGACAGCCATGAACACAGCTAAGAAGAAAGGGAGGTGGGTAGGAGATGGAAACTGGCCATCTCTGCCAGGAGGCAGGAACCCTCCCCTTCCTCTCATCCTATCTGAGGCAGCCACAGATTTTAAAGGGCTTCCCAGGAAACCACTGGAGAATTTGATATATCCATATGCACAGGCACACACACAAATGTAATACATAGTTAGTCATAAGTTTTTCATTTAAGAAAAAAAAAAGATAAAGACTATGGAACCTTACATCAGAAGATACTGTAGATGAGACCCAAGACTGTGGCCAAGAGGTTGGAGCAGGCTCCCTCCATAGACATATACCTAAGAGAACACGCAGAGTCTAGGAATCACATGAAGAGGTGGGTGGGCCCCCCCCATCGCCCCTCTCCTGACTCCTTCCCCTGCAACATTCCTTCCCCTTATTACCACCTGTCTCATTGAACCAAAACATGACCAAATGCATCGCCCTGGTAATGAGAGCATGCATGATCATGTTAGGATGTGCAAGCAATGGTAGAGCTAAAAGTACTTTATTTACTATTAGGGCCAAAAGAACCAGTCTACTCCCAGCTCTATGATCAATGAGTTAAATGAACTTGAGCAAGGTATGTAAGCTCATTTGTGCATCAATTTCCTCAATAACAAATGGAGATCGAAAGACCTGCCATAGCTTCTTCATAGGCTTCTAGAAGGAGCCAGCAAAATGGAATGTGTGTATTTTCTATTGCTGCATAACAAGACACCATAATTTTCTGGCTTAAAACATCATCCATTTATAATCCCATCATTTCTAGAGGCCAGAAGTCTGGACACAGAGTAACTAGATCCTCTACTCAGGGTCTCACTGGGCTGAAATTGAGGTGTCAGCTAGGGCTGCGTTCTCATCTAGGGCTTGGTTCTCTTCCAAGCTCACAGGTTATTAGCAGTAATTCATTTCCTTGTGAGTGTAGGACTAAGGTCCCTATTTTCCTCCCAGCTGTCAGCCCAGGACCACTGTCAGGCACTGGAGGTTGTCCACAATTCCTTGCCATGAGGCCCCGTTGGCCGGCATCAATGTCATGGGCAGGGGTGGGGGGTGGAGGGTCAGAACAGGGATGTTTGTTTCTTCCTCTTCTACAACTAGCCAGAAAGAAGTCTGCTTTAAAAGGACTTGTATAAGGGGCGCCTGGGTGGCTCAGATGGTTAAGCGTCTGCCTTCAGCTCAGGTCATGATCCCAGGGTCCTGGGATCGAGTCCCGCATCGGGCTCCCTGCTCCTTGGGAGCCTGCTTCTCCCTCTGCCTCTCTCTCTCTCTCTCTCTCTGTCTCTCATGAATAAATAAATAAAATCTTTAAAAAAAAAAAAAGGACTTGTATAATTAGGTCAGTCCCCCTGGAAACCTCCCTATCTTAAAGTCAACTGATATGGCACCTTAGTTATCTGCAAAATCTTTTCACAGGATTACCTAGACTAGTGTTTGAGTGAATAATTGGGAAATGGTGTGTATATACCAAGGGCCAAAATCTTAGAGAGCTGTCCTAAGATTGTGCCCTTTGGCCCTGAAAGATTCACATCCTTCCCAATTGCAAATGACATTCACACCCCACCAAGGTTCCAAAGGGTCTCAACCCACTAAATCATTAGTGGTTTTTTAATAAAAGCAAACCTTGGGGGTGTCTGGGTGACTCAGTCAGTTAAGCATCTGCCTTCGGCTCTGGTCACGATCTCAGCGTCCTGGGAATGAGCCCTGGGTTGGGCTCCCTGCTAAGCGGGAAGTCTGCTTCTCCCTCTCCTTCTGTCCCTCCCCCCACTGGTGCTTGCTCTCTCTCTCTGTCTCTCAAACAAGTTAAGAGAAATCTTTAAAAAAGAAGAAGAAGAAGAAGTAAATCTTGTTTCTTTGTGGATCTAAGTATTCAGCTACAGCTTTCTTGCATTTTCCAAGCTGACATCACATACCCTGCGTGCTTGACTCCTTTCCGTAATGCAAGCATTCTTGCTATACTTCTTATTCCTACATCTGGTTTTCTCCAAGGATGCTGCAAGGTAGCTCCTCATTCTCTCTACTTTTCCTAAGTTGAGTGTGTTCCAAGTGATATTCTTCTGTTGGCATCTGTTTAAACTGGCTGGGATAACAGACTTTGCTATCTGTTTTTTTTTCCTTCCTCTGGCATGCTTTCCATTCACCAGGAAGCAAATATGGTATCATGGCAAGAGTAAGGACTTAGGAGTCAGGCAAATGTAGATTCAGATTTTCTCTCCAACACTTTTTTTTTTAAGTAAGCTTTAAGTCCAACGTGGGGCTTGAGCTCACAACCCCAAGATCAAGAGTCACATGCTCCACAAACTGAGCAGACAGGCACCCCTCTCCAACACTTTTTAACTGAATGTTACTTAGCCTCTCTGAATCCCAACTTCCTCCTCTATACATTTGGGATGCTACCTACCACACAGGGCTGTGGGGAGAATTAAGTGACACGATATTCATGAGATTAAGTGATACAACAGGGGTGCCTGGGTGGCTCAGTTGGTTAAGCATCCAACTCTTGGTTTCAGCTTAGGGTATGATCTCAAGGTCATGAGATCGAGCCCCATGTCACTCTGTGCTCAGCACGGAGTCTACTTGAGATTCTCTCTCCTTCTCCTTCTGCTCCTCCCTCAACTCTCTCTCTCAAGTAAATAAATAAATAAATCTTCTTTAAAAAATGATACAACAGGGGCGCCTGGGTGGCTCAGTTGGTTAAGCGACTGCCTTCGGCTCAGGTCATGATCCTGGAGTCCCGGGATCGAGTCCCACATCGGGCTCCCTGCTCAGTGGGGAGTCTGCTTCTCCCTCTGACCCTCCCCCCTCTCATGCTCTCTCTCTCTATCTCATTCTCTCTCTCTCTATCTCATTCTCTCTCTCAAATAAATAAATAAAATCTTTAAAAAATAAAATAAAATAGAAAATGATACAACAATTGTAGCATATAGCAGCTGTGAATTCCAGACCCTTCCACTCTTTCCCCTCTCCTACCTCACATCTTTACCTTCCTCCCTTCTATCCGCATCACAGAGCCTTGTCATTTCATCCAACCGTATTCCAACATGGTAAGTGGGTTTTGATAACAACCAATCATTTCCATGCCGGGCTATTATGGTGACAATGCTGTCCACTCATTGTCCTGACACCAGTTTTTGTAGTTCGCTTTCAAAATGTGCTTGGACTGTGTTCTTGCATACTGTTACGACGCTCGAACAATTTATCTTCCTTTGAAAAAGGAGTCTGGTCTTGAAAGTGTTCCAGGTCTATCCCTTATAGAGATGCTTAGGATAAAAGAAGGATTAATGGTCAAAAGTAACTTAACTAAGGAACTGAGGTTGCCCAGAGGGAAATGTTAAGGACTGCCAGGCACAAGCAAGCACTTTCTGGCAAAGTCCAGAAAGTGCTGAAATAAAAGGGTTAGGAGTCATTTACTTAAAGAAAGGTCTCCAAGGCAAAATATTGGGAGTCTGGTTCAGCCATCACAATGAGCTATGATATGTATAAGACAGGGATTTAACATGGGAATGAGTGCCGAAAGCATGATTCCAACTTGGTGATTTTTACAAACATGATGTTGGTCACATCAGAAAGGTTTCTGAAGCAAGTCTCCTTGGGGTGCCTGGGTAGCTCAGTCGGTTAAGTGTCTGCCTTCAGCTCAGCTCATGATCTCAGGGTCTTGGGATCGAGCCCCACGTCGGGGTCCCTGCTTATCAGGGAGTCTACTTCTCCCTCTGCCCCTCACCCTGCTCGTGCTCTCTCTCAAATAAATAAATAAAATCTTTTTTAAAAAAAGAAGCAAGTCTCCTTAACACTTCTAGGTTCAAACAAACAGCAGAACATGGACACAAACACCATTTCTGGAAAAAAAAAAAGACTAGAATGGTCAACTGGGGGTCTCCAAATCCCCCCCTCCATAGCTCAGGTGCCTTCTTCATCATGCTGCTATTAACAAGGATATAGAGGAAAGGATCGTACTTGCACTAAGTCCTAAAGGTTAAGGCAGAGAGAATTCATCAGCTCCGGGGGGTCATGCCAACGTGCCTTCAGTAAAAAGGCCAATCTATAAATCATTAGGATGATACAAGAAAGCTACTGTATTTGTTCAGTTTTGTAGGCAGAAAGCTTGCATTTGCATTTGCCAAATACTTTACAACCATTTTTTCTGGGAGGTCACTGAACAACCTATCTCCATTCTGCAAGTAAGGAAGCAATGAGCCATGGAGGCTCTTTGGAAGTCAGTAGCAGGCTAATGTGAGAAGCCTCCACCCAGCTCTCCCATCAATGCTCCTTCTAGTGAACCACTTTGCCTGGTAGCACGAATGCTCTTAATCTGACATAAACCAAGGGCATAAATTTAAAATCTGCACCGAAGCAAAACTGACCTCAGTGAATTACAACTTGGACCTTCCTTTGCTTCCCACTGTATCACAGGACTATATAACTGACATCAAGTGTGTCAGTCAGGGTACCCTCACAGTTGCTGTAACAAGGGGGCCCAACAAACAGTGGTGTAAACAAAGACAGAATGTTGCTTTTTGTTGCATGTGGTAACAGTCTAGAGTTAGTTAGAGCAGCTCTGCTATCCTCAATATGTGGTTTCCTCCTTGTGATGAGAAGTGTCTCTGTCAGTACCACCTTCCCAACCAGTGGGAAAGGAATGGAAAATGGGGCACAATACCAAAGTGGTACCCCCTCACTTTCTCTCACACCCCATTGGCCAGAACAGCCACTCGGCAGTACCACACTGCAAGGGGGTGCTGGAAAATGTAGTCCGCTCAGGTAGCTTAATGCCCAGCAAAAACTTGGGAGTTGTGGAAGGAAGAGAAGAATGAATATTGGCAGAGAAGTAGTGGTCATTGTCTCACTACACTTCAGAGACCAAGCTTTACAATTCTCAGACCTAGTGTTTTGTCTCCTCTGCCCTAGTTAGGGAAAACTTTACAGAGGAATGTCAACCCTGAATTGAGTGAGAAGGACTCTGGTATAAGGAGAGAGGCCTGATAGCAGGACCCAGATGAGCTGAGTTCTGGTAACTACTCTGTCATATATTAGCTAGGAGATCTCGGGCAAGTCATTTAAATCCTGAGTCTCAGCTCCCTCACCTATAAAATTAAAAATGGGGCCAGGTGATATCTGAGGTCACCTCTAGACTTTACACTTGATGATGTCAGAGTAGACAATATGACAGGGTAGACCATGTAATATAACATATATCCTCAAGTTGACCAACAAATGACCAGAACTCACATCATGACAAGTTTTTGGTATTAAATGGAATATACAAAATGGGTCCACTTTATAAAAATCATTGCACGATTTAGTACGTAAATGAGTCTCACGTGTTCATAAAGTTTTAATCTTATAGAAATATTTACCAATTCTACTTATAAGTTTAAAGATATAGAGATCCATTTTTCCTATACAAATTTCCAGCTACCGTCAATAAAGAAATGGGAATATCTGTGTAATTCTAATGGATCGCCATCCAATTTCAGATATAAGCATAAATTACCACAAATACCTCACCAAAGGTCAACACAAAGCATATTAAGTACTTTAGGCTGCACTGATCTTCATGGTTAGTTCAAATATGTTTTACATATACTTTCCTCAGTTATGTTCATATAAATATCTCCCATTAGTGTGGAAGGTATGGAAGTCTGGCTTCTGGAAATAGGAGATAACTGAGCCAGAATTCCCTATAGAGCCTGCTGAACATTTTAAAAATAAATACTCTTACCCATCAACAATCGTCATCCCTTGAATGCCATTCAAAGCTAATTTTATTGAATACAATGGATGATGAAGCTGATGGTGGTAAGATGTGCCCAACAAAGCTGCTGTTTTTGTATAAATAGTAAAATGGCTCTGAACGATTTCTGACTGCAAAATTAATGGAAGTATTATGTTGCCTTCCAAAGTGACTACTTTGGAAGGCAAAAGCATATATATGTTGTTCTGTCTAATTTGATTACTTATAAATCCTGTTGCTTTAGAATTAGATAATTACATGTTGTAGGAAAAGAGTGCTTCTCAAGGGCTGGCCCATTTGCTAACCACTTTTATGTGGATTTATCATCTCAACTTCATGAAGGTTGAAAAGGTCTGTCTCCACCCACTCTGGCAGAATCTGAAAGTTGCCTACCCAACATCCACCTCCCTTTCTTCCTTAGAAGAAAGCCCCTATGTTATGTGAAACTTCACATGCCCAATGAAAGCACTAATTTACCAGCTTACCTTGCAATTAGCAGCGGCCAATGGGATGAAAAACAGAAGTTGGTAAGTGAAGCTTGCAGAAAGGAAGGGGGACAGGTTGATGGCATGTACCCCTTTGTCCTTTTCCATTTCTCCCTCGGTCAGGAATTTGGGTGAGATGGCTGGAGCACCAACTTTCATCCTGTCATTTATGTATGGGAACCACAGATTAAAGATGGTAGAGGATGAAGATGAAAGAAACCTAGGTCTCTGGTAAAATCATGGAGCTATCATCCTAGCCTATGCCTGTCTACCACCAGACTTATTTTATACAAGAGAAAGATAAACTCATAGGTGACTATGACACTATTATTTGGGATGTTTTGGTTTGTACCCTTGAACCTAATCCTAACTGATATACCTTTACTCATTCTTACATATAAGAGAATTGAGGCTGAGGGTAGCTTGTCTAAAGCCCAACAGCTAGGCAAATAGAGGTCCAGAATTCAAATCACGTAATTTGACTTCAGAAACTCATACTTCTCAGGACCCACATAGGCTTTAGTTTACCGATTAAGAAAGAAAGACACAATGTTTGTCCATTCGCTTTTATTTAGCTCCCACACAATGCTATAAAATCACATAAGTGACAGAAAGTAGACTCCCTATTAATCCACTGCACTAAGACTATGGATTGCTGAATAATGAAGCATATAATTTATCTGCTGCATAAGTTAATGAAACTGATGTAAAGAACAGCACTTAGGGCGCCTGGGTGGCTCAGTTGGTTGGGCGACTGCCTTTGGCTCAGGTCATGATCCTGGAGTCCCGGGATCGAGTCCCGCATCAGGCTCCCTGCTCGGCGGGGAGTCTGCTTCTCCCTCCGACCCTCCTCCCTCTCATGCTCTCTGTCTCTCATTCTCTCTCTCTCAAATAAATAAATAAAATCTTTTAAAAAAAAAAAAAAGAACAGCACTTAATGATGAAAGTCAACTCTCCTCCCATACCAGGGTTCAAAATGACTTTTCAGGAGGCAACTCCAACCCAGCTAGCCCCTATGTCCCCCTCCAAAGGAATGCATGACTATGCACAAAGCCTTTTTACCAATCCGGGTCACATCCAGTCTCATGTATGGTTTCTTTTCTTCCTTTTTTTTTTTTGAAGATTATTTATATATTTGAGAAAGAGCAAGAGAGAGAGAGCATGAGCAGGGAGAGGGGCAGAGGGAGAAGGAGAGGCAGACTCCCTGCTGAATGAGGAGCCCGACATGGGGCTCGATCCCAGGACCCCGGGATCATGACCTGAGCTGAAGGCAGACGCTTAGTGACTGAGCCACCCAGGCATTCCCTCATGGATGGTTTCAATGCCCAAGTGAAATGAAGTTCTACAGGATCTACCATAATTCATTATACTGATGAGCATGAACCCCATTAAAATTAAGGTGCATAATTGCACAGGAAAAGTGGCCATACTGCAATGTGAACCATTCTCTCTCCAGAAGAAGTGATAATTGACATAGGCCACCACCTAATCACCAAAGTTCGCAGCTCCTGTCAGGCAGCCCTCTCCCCAGAGCTGTCTCAGTCCAGGTTCTGGCAACCACTCCTGTATCTCACTCTTCCCATCCCAGGAGTCACAGAAGCTCCCCACAGGTTATCTACCCTGGCATACTGCACTGTCCCTAAGAGTTCCCCTTCATCTTATCCTGCAATTCCTTTACAAAACTATCCTTACGTGACCCAGTTGGAACATGCCTTTCTTTTCCTGCCTGGGCTCCCCAATAACTTTTGAGCAGGTGCAAATAGGTATATGGAAGTCCTGAGTGCCCTTGGAATGACAGTAATGTGACTTGCAGGAGTTCCAGCAGAACCCTCACCCCCCACATGGCAGGACTAGCCACTCAACTTCTCTGCACCTTGACCTTCCCCTTGATGAAACGAAGGGCCTAGATGGTCCCCAGGATCTGCCTAGATATAACATCGTCCCAGGGATCTCCTCCATCTTCCCTGACCTTCCCCCCTCCATTCCCTGTTACTACTTCTTCTCCTTCCATGCACACTCCATTCCCATCATCCATACCACACAAATCCCAAGTGTCAGCTCAACTGATGATCAAGAATAAAGGACAAGGGCGTCTGGGTGGCTCAGTTGGTTGAGCAACTGACTCTTGGTTGAGCATCAGTTTATGATCTCAGAGTCAAGGGATCAAGCCCTGGGCCAGGCTTCGTGCTCAGCAGGGAGTCTGCTTGGGGATTTCTTTCCTCCCTCTGCCCCTCTCCCCTGCTGGCTCCCGCTCTCTCCAAAATAAATAAGTAAATCTTAAAAAAATAAAACAGAATAAAGGACAATAAAGTTAGAAAGGAAATAAAGAAATCATTTATTTCTTCTCTCCCCATGCATCTTAATCTTAGAACCACTGCAAAATCAGACTCACTAAATTCCATTTAAAATCTTAATATGGATTTAAAACTATTTGGCAATGTGGTGACTGGCATACATTACAACTTCATAGTTAAACAGCTCGGGTTAAAATTGCCTTTGAATATTGATGTGCCCAAGGTTAAGGAATTATAAGTAGGTCCTCGGTCAGCTAATTCTAAAACAATCCACCCCGGACTTCTGTTAGCATTTAATCATTGCAAAACGGCAACAAATGCAGAACAATGTTGGAATCTGGTGTCCAGAAAAGAATTCAGCCAATTTATTATTGTCAAGCACTTATGCAACTCGAGCCTTGGAAAAAACAGAGCTCTGAGCCATCTTCCATTTCCAATTGTGTAAACCACAAAATCAGCAGCTCCCAAGAGTATCCATAAATGTAATCCCCAATTTTCCAACTTAAAGTTGGGGGTATACTTCAATCACACAGGTAAGGCTGATTCTCAGACTGGGATGGAAATGGGCACAGGGTAGTCTAGGGTCAGACCTTGCTCTGCAACCTTCTGCTCATGGGAACTGGGGCAAGTTTCAGGAGTTCTGAGCCTCAGTGTCCTCACTCATAAAGTAAGGAGAAAAATGCATATCTAATCCAACAATCCCACTTCTGGGCATATACTCAAAAGAACTGAAAGTAGGTCTCGAACATATGGATACCCATGATCATAGCAGCACTATTCACAATAGCTAAGAGGTGGAAGCACCCAAAGGTCCATCAATGGATGAATGGATGAGCAAAATGTGGTGTGGCGGTATAATGGAATATAACTCAGCCTTAAAAAGGAAGGAAATCCTGTCACGTGCTATAGGATGAAACTTGAGGACATTATGCTAAGTGAAACAAGGCAGTCACAAAGGACAAACAGTGGAATGGCTAAGTGGCTTGGTTGGTTAAACATCTGCCTTCGGCTCAGGTCATGATCCCAGAGTCCTGGGATCGAGTCCCACATCAGGCTCCCTGCTCAATGGGGAACCTGATTCTCCTTCTGCCTGCAGCTCCCCCTGCTTGTGTGCTCTCTCTCTCACACATACACGTTAAAAAAAAAAAAATAGAACAAATAATGTATGACTCTACTTTTATGAGGTACCTAGAATAGTCAAATTCATAGAGTTGAAGAGTAGAGTAGTGGTTGCCAAGGACTGGGGGGTGGGGGGAGGAGGAAAAGTTTTGCAAGAAGAAAAAGTTCTGGAGATCTGTTTCACAATATAAATACACTTAACACTACTGAACTGTGCATTTAGAAATGGTCAAAATGGTAAATTTTATGTTATGTAGTTTCTACCAGGGTAGAAAAAAATGCTCACTTCATTTAATCTTTGAGAGAATTAAATGATAAAAGTAAAAATGCCCGGCACACAGGTGATGCTCAATAAATGTGATGTCTTCTCCTTCCTCCACCTCACTGGAGTGGCTTGTAAATTATTTAAAACCTTAAAGAGAACCCCAGCACCCAAAACATATGGATATGGGTAGGAAAGGGAGTCAAACTCCATCTCAATTTCCTGCCTCCCCCCCTTTCCTCTTTCAATTCTTTGAGCCCAGGCCAGGTCACTCTCCAAAACAAAGCCTCAGGCAAACAACTCTGGACAGTCTGCCACCCACTTAGAACATGTTTGGCATCTGTCACCTAATACCCCAGACCTCATCTCTGGGACCCCTGGAGCATACCCCAGGAGTTTCCTCTCTTTCATCTAGAGACAGAGGCCCTGAGACGTTCCTTCTCTGCTCTTCATATATTTTGAAAAAGTAGCAGTCTATTCATTCAGTCCTGCAAGTAATAGCAGGTGCCCTCACCATGCCAGGCAGGGTTCTAGGCACTTGGGGTACAGCAGTAAACAAAAGAAATGAGGTACTTCCTTTCGCAATGCTTGTCTTCTATTAGCCTTCTTTCAGGGCTCATACAATTTATCAATTCTCATCTCTGTGCCTCTGACCATACTGCCTGAAAGTTCCTCCTTGCCTCTCCTTCCCATTCAAATAGTAACCCATCTGTTTAGGGTCCAGCTCAAGTCCGAGCTCCTCCTTACTGTTCTTCAAGTTCCTCTGATCTTGCTCTGAGTTTTCCTTTCCCTAACAGTCCTGGTACCTGGAGCCTACCCCACATCATTCAGTGCTAAGTTACACTGCTTTCTTCTTTCTTTTTTCTTTAAAAAAAAAATTTTTTAAGTAGGTTGCACACCCAACGTGGGGCTTGAACTCACAACCCTGAGATCAAGAGTTGCATGCTCCACCCACTGAGCCAGCCACACTGCTTTTTTTAAATGCAGATTGAGATTTAATCTTGTTTCCTAGCTGGATTACGGCCCCCTATTGGTCAAGGCCATCTTCATTTGTCCCCTCACCCCCTCCCACCTCATAGGACCTAGCACATAGTATTTGCCCAAGAATCACACTCCTTAGCTTCTTGAATCTTTGGGTGTGATGTGAAACATGTCTTCTTCGTGCCAGGGTGGTACAGCAATCTGTTCACTGGAGCTGTGTCTATAAATTCCTGCTTTCTTAAAAGTATATCTAATTCAATATGCCAAAATAACTTCTATTGGAAGTATAATTTATGGGATACGGTTAAATATACATGTTTAAAAGAACATCTGTATTGAATTTTCCCCCAAAAAATCCAATGAATATTTTATACTTAATCAGTGGCACTGTCAACTGATTTTTTTTTTTTTTAAGCTTTTATATGTCTAGTACTATGTGTAGGAAAGGAAAAATTTCCTCTACCCTCTTAGGTTCTGTGCCTGGGACCTAAAAATTAAACTGACAAAAGACAGATTAACAAAAGAAAAGGTTTGTTTTATATGCACACAGGAGGTCCCACAGAAAAGAAATGGAAATTTCAAAGGAGCAGTTAGCCCTGGACACTTACACACCATTTTAACAAGGACAATAAATTGTGGAGAAGTAATTACACAAGAGAAGGATGGACAAATTGGAGCTTCTAGGGGTGGTAAATTGTGGGAAGGTAAATATATAGTGGAAACTACTGGAAGATAAGAATTATTTAGTAAGGTTTGTTATGCAGACTCAAGTAGTGCCTTCTCCAATGATGAGAATCTTCTCTAGTGACTGAGAGTCATTGTCCTCTTGCAAATACGGGAGGAGACACCCTTACAAATGAAAATGTATGTTACATTTACAAAGCAAAATTTATACCCAGCTTTGAGACAGAAAGGGGAAGAGAGTTAATTGCCTTCAACTCAAAATAATCTTTATGCCAAAGTAGCAATATTGTGGGATGGCATACTTTGGGATGAGGGGAACTGGGAGTGACAGAAGATTAGGCAAGACAACAGGTTTGTCAACAGATTTAGGAAATGTTCACATAACTGCATGGAGCATTGTAAACCAGGGGCGCCTGGGTGGCTCAGTCGGTTGAGCATCTGACTCTTGATTTCGGCTCAGGTCATGATCTTAGAGTCGTGAGATTAAGCCTCGTGTCAGGCTCCACACTGGATGTGGAGCCTGCTTAAGATTCTTTCTCTCCCTCTGCCCACCCCACCTCCCTACCTATCCCCCCACCCCTGTGCTCTCTCTCTCTCTCTCTCTCTTAAAAAAATAATAATAAAAGGAGTTGTAAACCATTATTTAAAACTAACTTCCTTCAATTCTTGAAGTTTAGTTTGAATGCATATTTATTTTTTTGTTCTGAGTCTTTTTGAGGAGGAGGCAAAAAGAACAACTTGACCCATAGTGGTAATGATGCATAACAGCAAAAAAATAACTCCAAGGAAACACCTCAGGCATGAATATCTATGTGCAATTATGCAATAAACAATCTTCCATTATCTATGGAAGATACAAACTATATATCTTCAACAAAACAAGAAATTACAAAATCAATAATAATATTGTCACTTTGAGTAATGTTTCACTACCTAATTCTAGAAAAGAAGAAGTAAATGTGCCCTTACCTTTTGACATCCTCCCTTTCAATGTAGGACGTAGAGAACACTAGGCTGAGAATCAAGACTTATTTTCTACATCAGTGTTGTCCAATAGGAACATATACTGGGAACCATATACGTAATTTTCAATTTTCTGGTAGCTGCAATAAAATAAAAAGAAACAGATTAAACTAATTTTAGCCCATTGTATCCAAAATTCATCATTTCTGCATGTAGTGAGTATAATTATTGAGATATTTTCTATCTTTTTCATGCATGGAGAAAAAGATTTTTCAAAATCCAAGTATATTTATATTCACAGCACATCCCAATTAGGACTAGCGCCATTTCAAGTGCTCAGTAGCCACATGTGTCTGGGGGCTACTGAACTAAACAGCTCTGCTCTAGATTCTGACCTTTGGGGAACCAGCTACACAACCTTGGATTTAACCTCCCTGTTCCTAAGTTCCCTCCCCTTTAAATTGAGGGGCAGAAATAATCACTCCAAGTTCTTTCTAGTTGAAATTCTATTGTGTCCATAACTTGCATACCAGAGGAAAGACAACCATTCCCCCAATTTCAAATGTAGTCCATGATATTTATTTATGTAAAATTAGTACATGCCCATTGTAGAAAATTTGAAAAATACAAAAAACTCTAAAAACAAAATAAAACAGGGTTTCCTAGCTAGCTCACTCAGTAGAGCATGGGATTCTTGAGTTTTTTTGTTTTTTTTTTTTTAGATTTATTCATTGACAGAGATAGAGGGAAAGAGGGAACACAAGCAGGGGGAGTGGGAGAGGGAGAAGCAGGCTTCCTGCTGAGCAGGGAGCCCCGACGTGGGGCTCGATTCCAGGACCCTGGAATCATGACCCGAGCCGAAGGCAGACACCTAATGACTGAGCCACCCAGGTGCCCCGAGCATGGGATTCTTGATCTCAGGGTTGTGAGTTCAAGCCTCACTTTGGGTAGAGAGATTACTTAAACATAAAATCATTAAAAATAAATAAATAAAACAATCTACAATCTACCCAAGCATATCTACTATTAATACTTTGATTAGTTTCCTTCCTGATTTTTTTTTTAGCTCAAGGATCAGTTGAAACTTTGGGAAGCACTTAATACATTACTATATCCTCCCTTACATATACGAGGGATTTCAAAACAATAAAATTCATGCAATTTAGTTCCCCCCCAAAAGAAGACAGTTCTATATTATGTATGCTTTTTTTTCTGTTACTTTTTTTTATTGAGATAAAATCGGCATAGAACATACAATTGACATAACATATAACCTTGTTGTATGTTATGTTACATGCTTAACATAACAGGTTGTGTGTTAGGTTACACGAGTAACAATATTACAGCATAATGATTTTATACATATATGTATGGCAAAATGATTTCCACAAGTCTAACTAGCATCCATCACCACACACAGCTACAATTTTTTTCTTGTGATGAGAACTTTTAAGATCTACTCCCTTAAGCGACTTTCACATATAGAATTCGGTATCATTAACTAGGGTCACCACGCTCTCCACGACATCCCCAGGACCTTTTATCTTACAACTGGGAGTTCGGACCTTTTGACCACCTTCACCCACGATATCCATGTGTATATCTTGTAACATGAAAAGCATCCAAATGATTTTCTTTCAAAATCAGTTCATTATAGGGATCTTTCTCTTCTCTCTCTTGTCCTTATTGCTGCCTTCTGTTTATTCCCATGACGTGTTTATCTTGGGAGTCTTTAGTTTCTGTCCATTTTCTCTCCTCACTCCCCATCTGTATTCAGGGTCACCCGTTTCGGCCTGCCTACTCGGGGGGGGGGGGGGGGCAAGACTTACTACAGCTGCTGGTCAGGCCTCAAAGGCCAGGCTCTCCCGGGGACGATTTCCTCGGCAGGGCCTGAGTCTCTCGTTAGGATAGAGTAACCAGGCCATCCACCACCCCGCTCAGCTTGGCTATTAAGGGTTGCAATTATTTCGGATGTCACCTCAGGGCAACGGCAAAATTTTACTTTGAATTGCTTCCGCCAACCTTTCTGAAGTTTCTTTTCTAACCCAGCAATTAGTCAAAACGAAGGCACTAAAATAACTATTGAATCGTTCGGGTATTTGTGGGAGAGGTTTGGATTTTTGAGAGGGTTGAGAGGAAAATTGGGTTTTACACCCTCTAAGACGCCAACCTTCCTTTTTCTTTCTTTTTCCATTTCTAATTCCTTTTGTTCTTTCAGAGGGAGAGGGGTGTGTGTGTGTGTGTGTGTGTGTGTGTCTGTGTGTGTTCTTAATTGTCAAAAGTGCTCAGCCGGAAGAAGACAGGAAATGGAATTAAAGGTGAAATGAGTAGCCACCCGGCAGCAGGTCGCGTGTAGAGAGGCCCTGTATCTTTTCACATCCTAAACGTGGGCCCAGCGCCACTCCGGCAGCCCCCACCAGGACACCCCCCCCCCGCTCTTTGATATGCTAATCGCAGCTGTGGGTTGGTTCGGGCTGGCAAGAGAGCAGAGGTTTTCGGATGGCTGACACGTTACAAAGCTGCAAACTTCAAAGCCCAGTTTAAAAGGTTCTGTTCTCATCCAGCAAAATAAGTTTGCTTTTTACAATGCCGAAGAGAAAATCCCAACAAATTAGAGTGGAATCTTAAACAATGAAACAGGCCCAACTCAGAAATAAGGAACCAATCAATGCTATCAACATGGCTTCTATCTGTCCTTAGGATTAATCATTTCCAGATGATAGCATGCATCTGATTAGGTTTCTCTGGTGGCTCTCCCCTCCATCAGGCCCTGAGAAATGGGGAACGAGCAGGAGGCTCCGAGGCTGGAGTCTGACATGTGGACCCATCAGCAGGTAACACTGGGCTTTGAATGGGGCCCAGGTGGTTTCTGACAAAAAGGACATCAGCAGAGGGTAGGACTCCAAGAAATGCAACTCCTGTCTTTTAGAAACACACATGTAATTTCCCAGTGTCTCCTAGTTTTTTCAACTTCTGACAAAAATGGAGCTACCTCACCAGGGTGGGCCCTGTATGTTTGTAGAATGCCTAATATCACACCCAACCTACAATTCTACCATTTTTTAAACTTAGCTTTTTGGTTCTTGAAGACAGCTGTAGTCTTTGTCTTAGTCTCCTTGAACTGCCATAACAAAATATCATAGACGGGGGAGGGGGGCTTAAACAACAGAAATTTATTTTCTCAGTTTTGGAGGCTGGAAATCCTAGATCAAGGTGTCCACAGGGTTGGTGTTTGATGAGAGCTTTCCCTCTGGGCTGTAGGCAGCCACCATCTTGGGAACACACCCTTAAGGTCTCATTTAACCCAGGTCTCATTTAACCTTTATTACCTCCTTACAAACCCTATCTCCAAATACGGTCCTATTGGGGGTGAGGGCTTAAAGGATGCACCATCCCAAAATAGACCACGTTAGCATAAGGATTATATTGAGCTAAAGTCCACTGGGAATCAACAAATGCGGAAAGCAGCTTTCTCAGATCTTCCCTTATCTGACTGAAAAGCAGCAAGTTCTGTGAAATAAGGTTGCCATAAATTTCCTCTTCAGGGTGAATTGACTCCCAGAAGGGAAAACCCCAAATCCCTTCTCCGTGGGAGGTCAACGGCCCTGAAGGAGAGGGAAAGAACACTCGCTTATAGATGAACATTATCACAAACTTTCTTAATTCTCATTTGTTCTCTTAAAAACCCACTTGTCACTCCTAAAGAAATCTATTTGTTCTTTCCATAAAAGCCTTTTCTTCCCCCACTCCCTTTCCCCTACTAAATTAGGGATATAAACCTCAAACTTTAACCATTTAACCAACCAGCTACTCCTTTTGTTAGATCCGTATGCCTGCAACGAAAGCTTTTCCGTCAGTCTGTCTTTTGTCAGCTTACTTCGAAGGCCCCATTTTGCAGAACCAAAGAGAGTAGAGGAAAATTTTTTTCTCCCCTACAGGCTTCAATTTATGAATTTGGGTTGGGAGTCGGGTGTGGGGGTAGGCAGAGACACGATTCAGTCCGTAGCAGTCTTCAAGCTTCCTCGGTTAACCAAAACCCTTGCACTACCTTTGAAGAATGAACAAGGCAAGCTAGGGACAGAGTTGTGTCCACAACGAGAGAAGGGGAAGGGTGGGGGCTGATGAACAGTGACCAAGATGGCAGCATGCCTCACTTCCTCCCTCACAGTTTTACCTGGGGTCTCCACCACCTCCAACCTTATTAGCTTTCCATTTTGATCTTGAAAGGACTGTCTTTTCCATGGGTCAATGCATATTTGTGTGAGCCTGCGTGAGTTAGGGAGTGGTAGCAAAGGTTGAGAAAAGGTTGTCACAGCTTTGAAGGGTAGCAGATGGGCAACCCCAAAATCTGTTTCTTGGGTGTAGGATTGTTTTGAGATGATAATTCCTGAGAAACTGCAGGAGAATCTCTGAAAACGGAGTGGAATTTAGCCTTTTGTAAGGGACATTTACATTTACAAAGGAATTCCTCATTTGTAAGTGTCTTCCTCCCTTTGCCAGGAAGAGAAGGAGGACTCTCAATCACCAATAAACTCTTATCAATGGAGAAGACTCAGACTTAATCTGCATAACAACCTTCTCCTTCCTTGTTTACCTTGCTTTTCCGTGTAACCTCCCTCAACTGGCCTCCTCATCCCCCCAGCATCTTTCTTTTGTCTTTAGCTGAAGATTGTATTTAAGGTGGTGAGTTGGGGGCCATTTCAGGGAATTTTATTAAATTTTCCTGGGTATCTTCTAGGGATACATGTTTTTAATTTGTTTGCTTTTCCTATCGTTCATCTTTTATTGCAGGGGATCTCAGCCACAGAACCTTCTAGGCTACCCATCGAAGGTAGAAGGAAAATTCTTTTTCCTTCCCTACAGTTTGAACTTAAACCTTAATTTAAGCCGTGTTCTTCCCAGTATTCAACCCATCTGGTGGTCCCGCGCGGGGCAGCCCTGCCAGGAGTCTATTTGGGGGAGGTCTGGTACTTCATCCCCAGGCACTGCCTCCTGGTCCCCATCTCCAGATAACTCTCAAACCTAGTCCTCGAGGACTTCTGCCCAAGTCACAGGAAGAGAAGTTAAGAATGAGAAAACAAAAGACCTTTTTACTAAATTCTCAGCGACCCTGGGAACCCTGTTTGGGGATAAGAGTATCATACAGGTGGGAAGGGAGAGAGGACCAACACCCTCCACTCCCCCCAACACACACACCCACACCCACAGGGTTGGGGCAGTTCAAGACAGCCCTTCCCTGCAGGGACCCAACAGCTCCAGGTGCACCAGGAGGGTGCAATTCCAGCAGCTTGGTCTCCGCCCGGCACTGGCTCTAAATGGCGGCTTGGGCAGCCACAGAAATAGCTTCCGCCTCCTCTGGGGTCCGGTATGGCCCACAAGAAAAATGGCCATATACACCAAGATTAACTGTAAAGAAAAAAAATACTGGAAGGAAATAGAGCAAAAGGTTTTCTTTCCTATGGAGATAGCAGCCTAAATCATTGCTTCCTTTGAGATTTACATAAACCTCATTCAATGCCCGCCCCCACCATCCAGAAGGAAGTCTGAGCTCCTCCCCCCGTCTCCAAGAATTCCGGAGGGCTTGGCTTCTCAAATCTGCTTCTCCCATTTCCTGTCCCCCTTCAGTCTCAGTCCCACGGACATCTCCCCTCCCTCAGTTCTTTTCTTCTCCCTGCCCTTCCCCCGCGCGCCCCCCCACGCCCATTTCTTAAAACACCAAGGCTGTAGGTGTAACAGACTCCACAGAAGGTGTGGGAAATTGTTGAGGGGTGGGGCAGAGAAGGATGCCCATTTCATCACAGCACTTAAAATTCCTCCAGCCACCCCCACGCCAGAGAATTCCTCCCCCGCCCACATCTGCACAGCCCCTGGCCACCACCTGCCACACCACTGCTCAACCCATCCCCCACCCTCATGTGCATCCCCCTGCTCGGCTCACAGCTCCCATCTTCCTCCTCTCCACCCTCGAATCGGAGCAGTTGAACTACCGCTGTGTCTCCCTGCCTCCCTCTACCAGGCCTGGGCGAAGGCCCTGCTTGCATTTCACCCTTGAAGTGTCCTGTCCAGGTATTTTGTGAAACAAAAGGCTATTTACTCCGGAGAGGAATTCAGCCAATCCCCGAGGGTTACAAACAGCCTCAGTACCCTGTGGTTTAAATTAGTATTTTACCTTTACTATAAGTGTTTTCCATACTTTCCCCCCAAGTATGTATTAATTTGAAAAAAATTTTGAGTGAGAGTTCACATAACTATGGCCAGTGGTTCTCAACCAGGGGTGATTTTGTACCCCCGGGAGACATCTGGCAATGTCTGGAGATTTTATTGTCAAAACTGTGGGGTGGGAGTGCCACATGTAGATAGAGACAAGGCTGCTAAACATACTACAATGCACAGGATGGCCCCCCCAAAAAAAGAATTATCTGGCCCACAATGTCAGTGGTGCCAAGATCGAGAAACCCTGCTATGGGCCAATAAGCATCTAAAGAAAGGGACATAGTGACTTTCTCTGCCCCAGTTTAAAGGGACCAGTTAAAAGAAGTCATTCCCTTCACTTTTGACAGAATAACAACTAGGAATTATTGGGAACTTACTTTGCTCCTAACAACCCTGTAAGGCAAGTGGTTATCCAATTATCAAAACTAAACGGAAGGGGATAAATAATTTGCCAAGGTCACACAGTAAGTGTGAGACTAGGATAACCTGAGCCATAGATGTATGTGCGAGGCAGGAGGCAATCTGGCTGACATTCACAGTTTGGTCTAAAACTTGCCATACACAGATACTACTTACATTCCCACCAGATTGCTATGCAAACAGAGAAGGGACTAAAGGGGACGTGAAACTTTGACCATTAAGTTTCACCCCCAAATTGTGAAGGGCAATTTTGTATTTTTTTTTAAGATTTTATTTATTTATTTGACAGAGAGAGACATAGCGAGAGAGGGAACACAAGCAGAAGGAGTGGGAGAGGGAGAAACAGCCTCCCTGCAGGGCAGGGAGCCCGATACAGGGCTCGATTCGGGACTCAATCCCAGGACCCTGGGATCATGACCTGAGCCAAAGGCAGACGCCTAAGGACTGAACCACCCAGGCACCCCGGCAATTTTGTATTTTGTAAACAGAACTTCAAAAGTATGTTTCATTCGGGAAACTTGATTTCTGTCCTTTAAAAGTAATTAATCATGAGTTGATGCACTAATTATATATAGATATAGATCTGTATTTTAATACTTTTAAAGGTACATTTTTAAATTGTGAGGAAGGGGGAAAAGAGGCAGGCCCACACAATTTCACTGGCAAATTCTACCAAATGTTTAAAGAAGAATTAACAGCAATTCTACACAATCTCTAACAGAAAAACAGAAGAGGAGGCAACACATCCCAATCCATTTTATGAAGCTGGTATTACCTTAATACCAAAACTAGACAAAGATAATCCAAAAAATGAAAACTACATGCCAGTATCCCTCATGAGTATAGATGCAAAAAAAATCCTTAGCAAGATATTAGCAAATAGAATTCAGCAATATATGAGAAAAATTATTTACCATGACCAAGTGGGTTTATTTCATGGATAAGAAGCTGGTTCAGTATTTGAAAGTCAATTAATATAACCCACAATATTGACAGAAAAAGTCACATGATCATATTCCATGCAAAAATGCATTTGACAAAATTTAATGTCCATTCATGATTTTTAAAATCTTGAAAATAATAGGAATAGAAAAAAACTTCCTCAACATGAAAAAGAACATCCACAAAAAAGCCTACAGCTAACATTTTACTTACGGGTGAAAGGCTGAATGTTTTCCCCTAATATTAGGAACAAGGCAGGGATGTCTGTTCTCAGCAGTCTTATGCAACATAGTGCTGGAAGTTCTAGCCTATGCAAGAAGGCAAGAAAAAGAAATACAAGGCATACATATCAGAACATAAGAAATAAAACTGTCCTTATTTGCAAATGACAGGATTGTCTCTGTAGGAATCTACCAAAAAAGGAAAAGAAAAGAAATAATAATACAGCAAGGTTGCAGGATATAAAATAAATATACAAAAATCTATTGTATTTCTATATACTAGCAAGGAACATGTGGGCACAAAAAAAATTTTTTAATATAATGTCATTTACATTTACTCATTAGGTATAGATCTAACAAAACATGGACTTGTGTGATAAAAACTAAACAATGCTGATTTTTTTTAAAAAATCAAAGAAGATCTAAATCAGTGGAGAGGCATGGATTGACTCAACATAGTAATGATGCTAATTCTCCCAAAACTGATATATAGGTTTAATGAAATTCTTATTAAAATCTCAGATATTTTTGTAACTATAGATAAGATTATTCTAAAATTTATATGGAAAGGTAAAGGAACTAGAATACTAAAACAATTTTGAAAAAGAATAAAGAGAAAAATCAGTCTACTTGATTTTGAGATATATTATACAGCTATAGTAATCAAAACTGTGCAGAATTGGCAGAGGGATAGACATATAGAGCGTGGAACAGAATAGTGATCCAGAAATAGACTCATGCAAATATACCCTACAGATAGGAAAAATAGTCTTTTTACAAATGGTGCTAGAGAAATTAGACATTAAAAAATATATAAAATTGGGGCACCTGGGTGACTCAGTTGGCTGGGCATCTAACTTTGGCTCAGGTCATGATCTCAGGGTCTTGGAATCGGGCCCCAGATCAGGCTCCCTGCTCCGTGGAGAGCCTACTTCTCCCTCTGCCTGTAGCTCCCCCTGATTGTGTTCTCTCTCTCTCTCTGTCAAATAAATAAATAAAATCTTTAAAATATATATAAAATATATATTTAAAACATATATATATAATAAAATGAAATAAAAATCTCCATCTAATTCTCACACCTTATACAAAACTTAACTCAAAATGTACCATGGTCTTAAATGTTAAATTTAAAGCTATAAACTTTTAGAAAATAATAGGAGAAAATCTTCAGGATCTAGGGCTATACAGAGAGTTCTTAGACTTGATACCAAAAGCATGATTCATAAAAGGAAAAATTGATAAATTGGACTTCATCAAAATTGAAAACTTCTCCTCTATGAAAGACCCTCTTAAGAAATTGAAAAGACAAGTTAGACAGTGGAAAAAAATATTTGCAAATCACATATCTGGTAAAGGACTAGTGTCTAGAATATATAAAGAACACTCAAAACTCAGGAGTAAAAAAACAAATCCAATTACAGCATGGGCAAAAGACATGAAGAGACATATAGACATAAAGAGAATATACAGATGGCAAATAAGCAGAGGAAAAGATGTTCAACATCACTAGCCATTAGGGAAATGCAAATTAAGACCACAGTGAGATACTGCTACTTGTCTACCAGAATAACTAAACTGAAAAATAGTGACAACACTAAATTCTCATGGGGATGTGAAGAAACTGGATCATTCATACATTGCTGGTGGGAATGTAAAATGGTACAGTCAATCTGGAAAATAGTTTGACAGTTTCCTAAAAAACTAAACACACACTTACCATAGACCCAGCAGTTACACTCTTACTCATTTATCCCAGAGAATTGAAGATTTATGTTCACACAAAGACCTGTGCATGAATGTATATAGCAGCTGTATTTGTAATAGCCCCAAACTGGAAGCACCCAGATGTCCTTCAATGGATGAATGGTTAAACAAACTGCGGTATATCACTTCCATGGAATAGTACTCAGCAATGAAATATCAAACTATCTTTTTCAATTATCTAAAAATTAATTAATTAATTAAAAATTATCTTTAAAATTTTCTTTAGGGGCGCCTGGGTGGCTCAGTTGTTAAGCACCTGCCTTTGGCTCAGGTCATGATCCCAGGGTCCTGGGATCCAGCCCCTCATGGGGCTCCCTGCTCTGTAGGAAGCCCCTGTGGGAAGCCTCTCCCACTCCTCCTGCTTGTGTTCCCTCTCTCATTGTCTCTTTCTCTCTGTCAAAAAATAAATTAAAAAAAAAAAATCTTTAAAAATTTCTTTAAATGATTACCTAAAAAAAAATTTAAAATAAAATAGCAAACTATCAATACAGGCAACAACCTGGATGATCTTCAAAGAATATGCTGGGCAACAAAAACCAATCCCAAAAGGTTGCTACTGTATGATTCCATTTCTAAAACATTCTTCAATAAAAAAATTATAGAAATGGAGGACAGATTAGGGGTAAGAGACAGCAGAGAAACAGGTATGGCTAAAAAAAAAGGGCAACATTAGGGATTCTTGATGGAAATGTCCTCTATCCTGACTGTCTAAATGTCAAAATCCTGGCTGTGATATTATACTATAGATTTACAAGGCGCTACCATAGGGGGAAATTAGATAAAAGGTACAGAGGATCTTTCTGTATTCTTTCTTTCTTTTTTTTTTTTTTTAAGATTTTATCTATTTATTTGTCAGAGAGAGAGATCACAAGCAGGGAGAGCAGCAGAGGAAGAGGGAGAAGCACGCTCCCCACTGAGCAGGGAGACCAATGCAGGGCTCGATCCCAGGACCCTGGGATCATGACCTGAGCCGAAGGCAGATGCCCAACTGACTGAGCCACCCAGGTGCCCCTGTATTATTTCTTATGACTGTGTATAAATCTACAATGATCTCAGAATAAAAGTTATTTAGGGGCACCTGGGTGGCTCAGTCGTTAAGCGTCTGCCTTCAGCTCAGGTCATGATCCAGGGTCCTGGGGTCGAGCCCCACATTGGGCTCCCTGCTCTGCGGGAAGCCTGCTTCTCCCTCTCCCACTCCCCCTGCTTGTGTTCCTGCTCTCGCTATCTCTCTGTGAAATAAATAAATAAAATCTTTAAAAAAAAAAGAATAAAAGTTATTTATTTAAATAAACTATGTTATAATTATAGTATTATTATAAAATATATCAATTATATAATGATATTATTTAAATAAGTAAAAATATATGTAGATATAGGAAAAGGTAAACACAATGCAAGCCCAGAATGGGCTAGCTCCTTGATTAAGGCTAATAAATACCCGTTTACAGGAGACACCCCTACAAGGTGATCAGGACACAAGCTGCCCACTGTTCTCAAGAGCAGGCACTCTAATCCATGTAAAATAAACTGTAGACATGGAAATTGTAATGTGAAAAGAGTATGGAAACCAAAGAGGGAGATGTCGTAATGACAAGTGCAAACAGAAAGTGGGGAGTTACCATGGAGTCTAGAAAGAGCTGGAGGGTGAGACAGTAGGTGTTTTTCCAGCACTGACCAGGACAGAACACAGCTAGCCAACACAAACATCCAGTCCACTGGGCAAACATAATCCTTGCTGAAGGAGGACTTTTCACTGGGGCAGTTACCATGTGATGAAAATATACCCTCTAGGAAATCCAATTTCCTTTGCTTGGTTCTGTATTCATCAAGCAACCTTCTGATCTTAATTTGATTTTTGATGGTTTCCTCACTGTAAGAGAAGGAGCTAATGGGGCCCAATCTGCTAAATGATTATATGTTTTCTTCCATTATGACCCTCCCATGGTTTTTTGGCATCGGGTATTTTGTCCTAAACTGTTTTCTTTCTCAGGCATGATAGCCTTTTTCTTCCAACAAGAATATAATCCCCTTGAGCAAAGGAACTGAGTCAACAATCATTTATTAGGCACCTGCTATGTACTTGGAACTGTGCAAGGATCAAAGGCAAATGACAACTGAGACATGATTTGTGCCACCAGGAATTGCTAATTCCCTAGTGGTCCTGTACCAGCAGGGCTGGGAGTCGTGGCCTTATGGCCCAGAATGAGGGTTTCAGAGTCAAACCAATGGTGTTCAAATCCTAGCTCCAACATTTACCATCTGTGTGATCTTAAGCAAGCTACATAACCTCTCTGACCCTCAGTTCCCTCATCTGTACAGTGGGTAAGAGACCTCCCAAGGTGTCAAGGTGGATTAAATGAGTTCACTCAGACAAAGCACTGTACCACAGACACAGTGAGTGTTCATTAAATGGGAATTAATGTTACTCTGACAATCATTCTTACAGTCATGATTTCCAACCCTGTGAGATTACATTTCCCTCCACTGCCCACCTAACTTGTCTGCCCATCCTAGGTTCAATTATTTATCAAGTTCCCCTTTCTGGGCATCTGACAACACCAGGGATTGCAAAGAAGTTCTACAAATCCACCTTGGCTGTCACTTGCCACCAACCAGCATCTGGCTCAAACCCATTGCTCTTCTAGCCACCTTCAGACCAGCTTCTCCTACTTCCTCTTGACCCCAAAATGGGCCAGGCCTGCCTTCACGTTTATCACTTGACCTTGAGAAGGCTTTGGGAAAACCAAGGGACCTATGGCCAGAAAAAAAATTTTTTTTTTAAGATTTTATTTATTTATTTGTCAGAGAGAGAGAGAGCATGAAGGCAGACGCTTAACATTACTGAGCCAGCCAGGCGCCCTGCACAGCAAATTCTAAACAACTCTCAGAGTCCAGGTTTAGCACTATGTTACAGGGCCTGCTTCTCTTTCTCTCTAAAAAACCACACAGTCTCTAGGTTCCATATCATTTGAGTCCCATGGTTTGGGGTGGGGGTGGGTTGTGTTTTGTGTTTAGTTTTTTTTTTAATTAAACTTTATTTATTTGAGAGAGGGAGGGCAGGTGCAGGGAGGAGCAGGGGGACAGGAAGAGAGAGAACCTCAAGCAGACTCCATGCTGAGCACAGAGCCCCAGGCAGGCTCAGTCCCACAACCCTGAGATCACGACCTGAGCCTAAACCAAGAGTTGGACACTTAACTGGCTGAGCCACCCAGGCGCCCTATAGACATTACTCAAAAAAATAGGGGCACCTGGGTAGCTCAGTTGGTTAAGCATCTGCCTTCGGCTCAGGTCATGATTTCATGGTCCTGGGATCGAGGGAGTCTCCTTCTCCCTTTCTCCCCGGCTTGTGCTCTCTCTCTCTCTTGCTATCTCCCTCTCAAATAAATAAATAAAATCTTTTAAAAATTAATTAATTAATTAATTAATTAAATCTTTAGGGGAGCCTGGGTGACTCAGTTGGTTAATCATTCAACTCTAGGTTTAGGCTCAGGTCATGATCTCAGGCTCGTGGGAACAAGCCCCATGACAGGCTCCGCACTCAGGCAGAGTCTGCTTGTCCCTTTCCATCCCCTCTTTCCTTCCCCCTGCTCAAGCTTGCTCACACACATGCTCTCTCTCTAAAATAAATAAATAAATAAAACCTTTTAAAAAATAAAATCTTTAAAAATAAATAAATAAGCAGAAAAATAAAAGCTAAAGGGAAGGAAAGCAACCTATTCAAATCCTCTTTCCTCTCCCCTTCTGGGCCTTTGCCCCAGGATCCCCCAGGAGCTGTTCTTTTTCTCCCCCTTTTGAAGCTCTTTCAGGAATAAATCAGTCAAGGCTTCCTCTAGTTATCAGCCTGGATGGGGAGCAACTAGGCCAGCAGCAAGAAACAGAATCTTCCCCAAAAGTTCAGAGGAAACACGTATACAGAGTTTCATGTCGGGAACATACACGTGTAGAGTTATGTATACTCATACTTTCATTTTTTCATTCTTCCTACTTCCTAGGTTGTTCCTAGCACACAGTTGCCTCCCAAAAACATGACTACACCTTCACCCCTGAGCTTGACCAACAACCCAACAATTTCCTATTTTACAAAAGACAAATAAAAAGGTTTTAAAAAGAGAGAAAAAAAAAAGGGAGAATGAAGAAGAAGGAAAGACAAGAGATAAAGGAAAGAAGGTGAGGAAAGACCAGGACGATC